TGAGAAATTGTCGACAGTCATGTAAATTAGATGTAGTTTATAGTTAATGGACTAAATCTTTCAAACCACCAGTATGCTCCTTTAAGCCTCCTTTAAGGTTACCACAGTCCAGTGTATGTTGTAACTCTCTACTACACACACACACACACACACACACACACACACACACATACACACACTTACAAGAAAACCTAATAGAGTAGTAGAGGAGGTTAGATTGCCCACAGTGACATAAAAACTGCAACAGAACCAGGAAAAGCCCACAGCTCAGACCACCAGTCCCTTGATAGAGGTCATGTTACCAGGTCTACTTTGTATACACAAGCCTAGAATGAGTGTGTAATCATGTCCTATGACACACATGCTCTCAGTCATGCAAGCACACTTGCGTTTAGATACATTCATGCAGCAATTCATTTTCAGAGTGAGGTCAGGGCAGTGCGTTCATTTGTGGGAAGATAAACATGACAGTAACACCTCAGAATGGCTCATGACAGGGAGGTTTGCATCTCACTCACACACTCACATCCTTATACTGTGCCTTCCTCATCTAAACAATGCACTGTTTTATCTGTAAGTTGCATGTTAGGCTGTCAAATGTGCACTAACATTCACACACACTGGGGTCCAATCAGCTGCTGTCAGCTGGATACTGTTAGTGTTACGCTGGGGGTTGGTGAAAAAAAAAGGAGAAGGGAGAGAGACGAGGAATGCAATCTCAACACCTTCAGCTCCTGCCCTATTCACCTTGCATGTTGTTCTGCAGGAATGCCATTAGCTCAGTGAAAAATGGTTGTGTGTGTGTGTGTGTGGGTGTATGGGCTCTTGAATGTGAGCGTGCAGATGTCTGCATGCCTGTCTGTGTGGTGTCTGAGTGAGAAGCCGGAGGAAGAGCTACAACAGAATACATTCTGTGAGCCTAAGGGTGTCTATAAACATTGATTTGAGTTTTGGAGGCATTGTCTTTGTGTCTGTGTGCATCACGTGAACGCTGGGTCTCAGACAGCACTTTAATGTTGTAGATTAAGTAGGCACTGGCTGTGTGCTGATTGAAAACAGACGCTTTTGCTCAGACTTCTTACACACATGCACACACATGCCAGCACATTGTTTCAATGCACCCTTCCCTCCCCTTCTAAATGCTATATATCCCCTTAAGGGAAAATTATTACCCATAGTGTTATGCATTTTGTCATCTAAGCACTTAAGTTATTCACTGCATAACTGAGCTGTTTTTCTAATCTGATTTGGAACAAAAACCCTCCATACTATGTGTAGCTGCAAATTATTTCTGTCTCTTGTAAAAAGTGTGTGTTGTGCACACTGTATTTTACGTTTTCCTCACACACTTTCCCCTGCTTTTACTGCACTCAAAAATGGTGCTAAACAGTACCCAAAAGTAGTCAATTTGTATTTTTCTATATAGAGCCATTAAAGGTGCCATATAGCACTATATTGTTGTTTTGATTTTTGAGCCTCAGGGCCCCTGAATGATGCCAGATAATACCATGGACAAATTAATATGCTTTAAAATGACATTTTGACTCAAAGGTATAAAATCCTGTATCAAATGCTCACAGAGAAAAACAATATATCACCCTTTCAATTCTTGAAATATTTCTGTACACAAGGGGGCAAAGAGTTTGAGAGCCAGTTAAAACCACTGTGTTATCCTCTGGAAATACACTGTTTGTAGGCTGTTTAATATAGTGTTTTCACTCTATACCCAGTAAACTGGACTAAATTAAGCTGAAGAACAGGTAGAGAACCTGTAAAGAACAATACAGGGACTTAGAAGGTTCTCTACTGGTTCCTCAGCATAGTTATGTTTAGTGTACTGGGGGAAGAATCTGTAGAGAACTCTAAAGAACCATACTGGAGCTTAAAGTGTTCTCTAGTGGTTCTTTGGATTAGTTAGGTTTAGTTTACTGGGAAAAGAATCACTACAGGACTCTAAAGAAGCATAGAGGGGCTTAATGGTTATCTAGTGGTTCTTTGGCTTAGTTAAGTTTAGTTTACTGGGGAAAGACTCAGTAGAGAACTCTTGAGAACCATGCAGAAGCGTAAAAGGTTCTTTGGTTTAGTTAATAAGTTTAGATTACGAGGGAAAAAGACAGTAAAGAACCTTTACAAAATATTAGAGTGGGTTAAAATGTTTCCTCGGCTTAATTCAGTTTAGTTTAAAAGAGAAAAGAAACAGTAGAGAACTCTAAAGAGCCATTTTGGGCTTAAAATGTTCTCTTCTGGCTTTTTTGGCTTAAGTTTAGCTTACTGGGGAAAGAGCCAGTTAAGAACCTCTAAAGAACCATCTGGGGGCTTAAAATTTCCTCTACTGGTTCTTCAGCATAGTTAAGTTTAGTTTACAGGGGAAAGAATCAGTAGAGAACTCTAAAGATCCATAATGGAGCTTAAAAGGTTCTTTACTGGTTCTGTGGCTTAGTTAAGCCCAGTTTAGTGGTTAAAGAGCCACTACAGAACCACTAAAATATCATAGATTGGTTTAAAATATTCTCTAGTGGTTCTTTGGCTTAGTTAAGTTTAGCTTACAGGGGAAAGAGCCGGTAAAGATCCTCTAAAGAACATTAGAGTGGCATAAAAGGTTCTCTACTGGTTCTTCGGCTTAGTTAAGTGTAGTTTAAAAGAGAAAAGAACCAGTAGATAACTCTGAAGAGCCATATGGGGGCTTAAAATGTTCTCTACCGGTTCTTTGGCTTAAGTTTAGCTTACTGGGGAAAGAGCCAGTTAAGAACCTCTAAAGAAACTAATAGTGGTTTAAAAGGTTCTCTACTTTTTCATCGGTGTAGTTAAGTTTAGTGTATTGGGGAAAGAATCAGTAGAGAACTCTAAGGAACCATACAGGATCTGAAAAGGTTCTCTAGTGGTTCTTCTGTTTAGGTAATAAGTAAGTTTACTGGGGAAAGAATCACTACAGGACTCTAAAGAAGCATAGAGGGGCTTAATGGTTATCTAGTGGTTCTTTGGCTTAGTTAAGTTTAGTTTACTGGGGAAAGACTCAGTAGAGAACTCTTGAGAACCATGCAGAAGCGTAAAAGGTTCTTTGGTTTAGTTAATAAGTTTAGATTACGAGGGAAAAAGACAGTAAAGAACCTTTACAAAATATTAGAGTGGGTTAAAATGTTTCTTCGGCTTAATTCAGTTTAGTTTAAAAGAGAAAAGAAACAGTAGAGAACTCTAAAGAGCCATTTTGGGCTTAAAATGTTCTCTTCTGGCTTTTTTGGCTTAAGTTTAGCTTACTGGGGAAAGAGCCAGTTAAGAACCTCTAAAGAACCATCTGGGGGCTTAAAATTTCCTCTACTGGTTCTTCAGCATAGTTAAGTTTAGTTTACAGGGGAAAGAATCAGTAGAGAACTCTAAAGATCCATAATGGAGCTTAAAAGGTTCTTTACTGGTTCTGTGGCTTAGTTAAGCCCAGTTTAGTGGTTAAAGAGCCACTACAGAACCACTAAAATATCATAGATTGGTTTAAAATATTCTCTAGTGGTTCTTTGGCTTAGTTAAGTTTAGCTTACAGGGGAAAGAGCCGGTAAAGATCCTCTAAAGAACATTAGAGTGGCATAAAAGGTTCTCTACTGGTTCTTCGGCTTAGTTAAGTGTAGTTTAAAAGAGAAAAGAACCAGTAGATAACTCTGAAGAGCCATATGGGGGCTTAAAATGTTCTCTACCGGTTCTTTGGCTTAAGTTTAGCTTACTGGGGAAAGAGCCAGTTAAGAACCTCTAAAGAAACTAATAGTGGTTTAAAAGGTTCTCTACTTTTTCATCGGTGTAGTTAAGTTTAGTGTATTGGGGAAAGAATCAGTAGAGAACTCTAAGGAACCATACAGGATCTGAAAAGGTTCTCTAGTGGTTCTTCTGTTTAGGTAATAAGTAAGTTTACTGGGGAAACAGTCGGTGTAGAACCTCTAAAGAACCACAGAGTGGCTTTAGAAGTTGTTTGTGTTGCTATATAACACCTCAACCCACATCGAAGAACCACCGAGGAACCAACGTCTTTCTGTGTGTGCAGCTTTCTGAATATACAGTAAATCTAAGTCAGAGCTGGCTCTAGTTGCCCACAGCTCTTGCTTCACCCATGGATAGAGTGAGGAGTGTCACCACATTAAGCACACTAAGCTTCGAGTGCATCACAGAAAAGTCATAGTGTAGATTAAGCTGTCTTTATTGGGGCCAAAATCTCGGAGAGCTAAAGCAGACCGAGCATTAAAGAATGGCCTAAAATGTTGGCCCAGGTCTGATCTCATCTCAGATTTAGCATGGTTTAATATTTCATTATATCCCCTCTGGCTTACGGGGCTTTGTCCCAGCTGTGTTCTGCATCGGTCAGCACATGGCCCACAAACAGACACACACAGACATGCACACACGCACATACACACTCTCTGGCCTGCAGAGCCCAGTGAAAACAAAGCCGGGCTCTGCCAGTGTAAACATAGCCCATTGTTATGGGCACTCTTTCCCGCCTCGTATCTTCGCTCCCTGTGGCGGTCCAGGGCTCTGAGAGGTACGGCGCTGGCACGAGTCCCGTTTAGTGCAGTTATATTAAGACTCATTTGCCATGCATTTATGTGACCATGTCATTATAATGCAGGCTGTAGAGTGTGATTTATGTCCTCGGTTTCTCTCCCTCGCGCTCCTCTTTCTCTCTTTTACTGCTTCAGTTTTTACTGCCTGGCTCCTCAAGTGTGGTTTGTGGCCGTTTGCTTCGAGAGGTTTTAGCTTTTTGACAATTATTTTTAGACAAGCAGCAGTCAATTTACTATAATGTACCAGCTTCTGCCAACAAAGTAAGCCCATAGAAAAACATGGGAAATGTTTGGAAGGATAGATATTCTCATGTTAAACAAGTGTGTTGGACTGCGTGTGTGTGCACATATGCCAGACAATGCATCCGTATGTGTTATCTGTGTGAACTAAGTGTGCATGCACGGGTGTATCTCAACTATATGTCCCTTAATTGCGTAAAAGATGTGTGTGAGCGGGAGTGTGTGTGTGTGTGTCACATCGTGGCGTCTCTCAGCTGTGACCCTGGGCCACATGTGCAGCCAATTAGGTCCAATCAGAAGGCTGTAATCAGGGCGTGGCGTGGGGATGGTGGCAGTGTGGCAGTGGGGGAGTTTTAAGACCCATGATTAGTGTGTCAGGCTGATGAGGAAGGACAGGGGGGAACTGCCAGGTCGAATCCCGTTTCGTCGTTTCTCCGCATATTTCACCTCCACATGTGAGGGACTATGTTTATTTAGTTTGTGCCAACCAGACCTGGATAAAATAAGGTTTCAGATTCTTGTCTTTTAACCTATTTAGGTGACAGATTGGTGCGGTGCGCCACATGAGATGATGCAATTACAGAAAGGTATTTAAATGTAAGAGTATTCCTTTCTACAGCTGGCAGCTCACACCATATGAGTTCACCTACAGCAGCACAGTGAACCCGTCTAAGCAGCTTAAAACAAAGACCAGAAATCATTCACTACTTCTATTAGTCCGATATTCTTTTGCTCAAGTCTAAAAGCAAAGCCAGGAACCAGATTCACTGAAGCTGTTTGAAGTCTGTGAGTTTCAGTCAGCCAGCTTTGTTGAATGACTCTCAGTGAGATAGCATCAAGAACTTCCTCCTCTGACATGTGCATTGCTTCATAAAGCGCTCTCAGATGATATGGTTATGTATGGCGAAATGAATTACAGAGTTCTAGGGTGTGACTGCGAAGGCTCTTTCTGAAAGAAGTTAATCAGTTACTGTTCTCATTGGCTGCACTGCAGTGAAAGAAATATTTTAGTAAGTCAGTGTTGTAAGTAAGAAACTTATTACTCAACTTTGAACCCAGTGGAGCAATTAGAGTGTGCAGAGTCACAGTAGTTGTACTGTATAGATGCAGCTGTGATTGTGCGTGATTAAAGGACTCACATCTCCTTCATGCAGGCCCGTTTAAATCAAACATGTTTTGCTTGGGGTTCATTCATTCATTACTTCTGTAATACTTCTATACTTACTTCTCTAATCTACTGGGGCCGTATTCACAAAGCTTCCTGGGGCTAAGAGTTGCTCCTAGTGACGAAATTCTAAGAAAATTTGTATTCGTTTTCTTAGAATTTCCCATTAAAGTTAAGATGGAAGAAGGAGGAGGAAGAGGTTTAAGAGTTTCTTAAGAAGAGGAGAAAATGGCGGAAAGACAAAGACTTGACACTGGGAAACAGTGAATAAATGAAATGCTACACATTAGATCCTGCAGGGTTAATATGTGTGGTTGATCTCATTAGGGATAGACACACATTTCCCACCCAACACATTGGTGCTATAACACCAGAAATAAAATGATCACAACACTAAGATATTTGAAGAACTGGAGTGATGAGTTATGACTGTCTCAACCTTCCATCAGCAGAGTGATCACACTAACAATGACGACACTTAGCAGTTAATTTCATGTCCACTGGGTGTCCACACCTCACAGGCTCACAAAAGGGCACGTCTGTGACAACCAATCACATTTGTTAAAAGGATGCATCATACCTACGTAGCAACGGGGTCAACCACACCTCCTCACTCAGGTAAAAGTCTCTGTCCTGTCCTTGCTCAGAGTTGCTCTGAGAACTTTCCTAAATCACTCCTAAGCTAGGACTCCTTACTAAAAAAAATTCAGGCTAAGTCAGGAGCTCTAAGAGTATTCTCAGAATGTTTGTGAATATGGCCCCTGGTGTAAACGTGTCCCCTAAATGACCATTTGTGTATCAGTTATTTACCCCTCTGTTACGTTGAATTCCTGAAGAAAACTTTGTTTTTCTTGCATGCCTCCACAGTGAACAAAGAACCTAAATACTGAGAAAAGTCATGATGAATTGAAGTGTAAGGGGTCCACGGTTAAAAACAGTAAATCTTATTAAAACAAGGCCTTTGTGACGGATAACTAAACTATAACTGACACTTATCTATGCCCTCTTCATAGCCAGACTCCATTGACAAAAACAGCAATTTTACCTTGTGTGGTACACAGGAGCTGCTGGTCTACCTCTGCCTCGATCACTTAGTTTGTTTGTGTTATTGTGTGACTTTGCTGAATACAAACTAACCCTTTAAAACACCAAAGTCACACAAAAACACCAACAAACTAACTGATTAAGGCAGAGGTTGACCAGCAGCTCCTGTGTTCAGCGAGCTAAAATTACTGTTTTTGTCAATGGAGTCTGGCTTTGAAGAGAGCATAGATAAGTTTGGAAAGGGCTTTTGGTTTGGGAAGTACCACGCATACAACTGGATAAATTTGACTTGGATTATACTGCAGGAGTTGTGTGAGAGTTTGTAAATGTATGTTTTGGTATAGTTTTGCTGTTGTTAAATGTGGACCCTATTTACTTCAATTCATGATGAATGTTCACCCTTTTGGATTCTCAGTTTACCCTAGAGGCACGCAAGAAAAACAAAGTTTTCTTCCCAAAATTCGATGTAACACGGGATGAGTAATTGATTTACAAATGGTCATTTTTCATGTGAAGTGTTCCTTTAACATTTTTATTGACATTGGAGTCTTATCAGTTTTTATTGGCTGAAGAACTGCAACTACCAACAGCCAAGTCATTTATTCAGTACTTAAACTTTCCTGCACCTGCATTTGCATCATTTTTAAAGAATAACAAAGCTATTAATTCCAACCCTCTCAGTGGAGTAAACAGCTCATTACAAAAAGAAATGTGCATTTCTGTGTTAGCTTGTTTACAACTGCTGCAAGTTCATCCCTTTAGTATCAAAATATCATGAAAAACACATCCTATAAGATGCAGTGGTGCTTAGGTAGCATGATAATCAGACTGAATGGAAAGTGTTTATAATAACTTGTAGAGCTGCATCAACCTTTGTCGTTATATTTCATGAACACAGCGAGCTAGTCACATACGAAGATCACGTTTTAGGAGCGTATGTGCAGGTGTACCACAAACATCCATCTTGTCCCCATCTTTCTATGTATACTGCCCAAAGATTGCTGTTATTATGTGTGTGCCTTGTCGTGTGTGTGCAAGTGCCCTGGCCAAAGTGCCCGCTTAACAACATATCCTGTCAATCTCCAACGTCAACTGTATAATAAAGGCAAAATACTGTGTGTCATAAAAAATCTGTACAGTAAATGTCAGTCGCTAAATGTCCCTGCTCAGCCTTTTCATCATTGCCTACAATTGGAAAACTCTTGTAATGTGTCCAGGGCCTAAGTAGCATCCAGCAGAGGGGAGCTTTGTGAGGTCTGCTCCAATCCTTCCTGCTCTTTGATTGACTCTTGGAGCACGGCCAAAGCCCGTCTCTGGAAATTTGATCAGCGTGTTTATTTATTGGCCTTTAAACAAATGGTCCATTTTTACTCAAAATCACGTCGCCGTTTCACTATTAGTGTTACTGATGTCAGCAAAACCAGGCAGCTGATTATTCCTCACTGCCTATTTGTTTGTCCGAGCGGAGCAGTAAAAACGTAAGACTGGCAGACGGACAGACAGCTGGACAGAAAGTCATCTGTGGAGCTGTATATCACCGCTGATCTGACTGGGCAGACAAACACGGTGACCGGAGCGTGGCCCGGCCTGCGAAACCACATGTGAGCGGGCAGGAATGTATAGCCCGCTGCACTGTGGGTTTGAGTCTGTGGGGAAAGAGTGCAGACTCCCTGACTCACAGGACACTGTGAGGTTGGGGGGATGTGAAGGAGTGAGGAGGAGGAGGAGGAGGGGGGCAGCATAACTTTCGGGAATCAGAATGCAAGATCAGGAGGAGTGTGTGAATCACGGCCACAATGCTGTCTCATTTCTAGCCCCTTGCTCCACCATAACAATGAGTTTTCACTCTCTTCTCTCTATTCTAGGTTAAAGGTCGAGTGTGTAGGCTTTAGGAGGATATATGGCAGAAATAGAATATAATAGGACAAGTATATTTTCTTAAGTGTATTATTACCTAAAAACAAGAACAACTAAATCTAATAAATCTGAGGCCATGGTTGTCTGCCGGAAAAAGGTGGATGGCCCCCTCCGGGTTGGGAGAGAGTTACTGCCTCAAGCGAAGGGGTTCAAATATCTCAGGGTCTTGTTCATGAGTAAGGGTAGAATGGTGCGTGAGATTGATGCAGTTTGGTGTGGCTTCTGCAGTGATGCAGGCGCTGCGCTGGACAGTCATGGTGACGAGAGAGCTGAGCCAGAAGTCAAAGCTTTCAATTTACTGGTCCATCTACGTCCCAAACCTCACCTATGGTCATGAGCTCTGGGTAGTGACCGAAAGAATGAGATTGCGGATACAAGCGGCCGAAATGAGTTTCCTCCGTGGGGTGGCTGGGCTAAGCCTTAGAGATAGGGTAAGGAGCTTAGACATCCAAAGGGAGCTTGGAGTAGAGCCGCTGCTCCTTCGCGCCAAAAGGGGTCAGTTGAGGTGGTTCGGGCATCTGATCAGGATCCTCCTGGGCAACTCCCATTGGAGGTGTTCCGGGCACGTCCCACTGGTAGGAGGCCCCGGGGCAGACCCAGAACACACTGGAGGGATTACATATCTCATCTGGCCTGGGAACGCCTCAGGGTCACCCAGGAAGAGCTGGAAAGCCAGATCAGACAAACACTACCTTTCGATTAGGCCATTTGCGTTTTCCCGTCACCCACCATCTTAGCAGCCCCTCCATGTCAAGCTAATCAGCATCATAAAAACACAGATTTTTGAAGTGAAACTGCTTTATTCAGTGTTTTTAAAAGTTGAAATCATCAGGTCCGATTGTTTTGGAGAGGAAGAGACTTCTGTGAATAATTTGGCTCCTGGTAAAAACCTCCAAACGTCTGGATGTTTAGTTATGATAGACAAAAATTGAGCACACATTAGGAGGGCTTGGGCCAGCACCTTGTATATGTCGAGCCAAACATGGTTGGAGAAACCCTACTTGTGCAGATACATCTATGGTTATCAAATATAGCTATATAATATTGCCTGATTGATATTGGTTAGGCTCTGTGCAGAACTGAAATAGAAGTGACTGCTTTTCAAATCCATCTAATTATCCTCTGTGTCTTTCTTTGATTCCCCCATCCCCAATCTTCCCTCCTTTGCTCCTTCTATCCTTCTCTTTGAAGTCCCAAAGAAGTTGCTCCAGGAGCAGGGACCCAGACCACCGGTGTACTCCCCTCCACCCAGCGCCCATGACCCCAACATAGTGGGAGACAGCCCTCCAGAGGGGAGCTCAGTCAAAAGCCCCGACAGTGTTCCAGGTGAGCAAAACGACAAACAGAAGTTTTTTCACTCACACATACACACACACACACACAGCCTCCCATGGAGAGTAGTTAACACTAAACAGTCCCAAGGCCTCCCAGGCATCAAGAGAAACAGTAATTCAGGTCTCAAGTCAGGGCATATATGTATGTATATGTAAAGTCACACGGGGTTCAACTGCTTCCATATGTATCCATCGGCCCAGACCATTTATGATCATCGCTCTTAAAAATATATGAAGAACCAATGATGTGACCACAGTCCAAATCAGTGCGCTAACTCCCATCGAGAGAAAGAGGGAGAAGACAGACGAAGAACAATGAAATGAAAGAGTGGGAAGAAAACGAGGAGACGCCAGCGAGAAAGGAAACTTAAACAAAGCGTTATTCATGAGGGATGGTGGCCTGCATCCAGCACACTAATTACTCTGCTCAGCTACCGGCACTGTACTGATTAGGAGGATAGACGAATGAATGAGGAGTTAAGAGAGGGAGCAGACAGGAGATGTGTGCCGTGGGGCTGACAGCTCCTGACGCATGAATGGCTTTACTTCCTCTCACCGGGCTGAAACGCTTCACTTAAAGCTCATCTAGAAAAACCTGTTTCCATCTCTGATGAAAGATAAAGGCGGAACACGAAACATTGAACTGTAAATATAGGTATCGTGGTCTTCTCAGTTCTCTTTGTTTATTTTTAACTGGCTGGGGATTGGCGTAAAGAAACAGATTTGATCTTTCTGCTTGACCAGCAGTTCACTAAACAGCTAAATCACAGTTTCACGACATTCTTCTTAAAGGGATAGTCCACCACTTTGGTAAATACACTCACTCACTTTCTTACTGAGAGTTAGAAAAAAGTGATACCACTTATATTTTTACCTTAAAATCTTGATTTTCTACTTCTCTTTTCACTCAGCTTTCATAATTTTCTCTATATATGTATTTAAGGGTTTCTTTTATGCCTCCGTCCTGTCTGTTTGTACTTGCGCCCGTCCGTCTGTCCGTCCCATTTCCGTGAACACAATATCTCAAGAAAGCCTTCAGGAAATTTGAATTTTGGCACAAACGTCCACCAGGACTAAAGGATGAATTGATTACATTTTTATGGTCGGAGGTCAAAGGTCACTGTGACCTCACAAAACATATTTTCAGCCATAACTCGAGAATTCATGCGTTATTTATTACAAAATTTCAGAAAAATGTCCTGGAGCCGTACACGTGGCGTTTTTTGTGCCCTCAAAGTCATTGTTTCAATGAATGTTTTCACTGAGTTCAAATGCGTTTGAAACGCATGTGAAGAGGAACAACAGTCACAGCCAACAGATATCTTTCCCTTCTTCTGTAAATCTTCAGTCAGATGAATATGGAAAAGTTGATCATGATAGTGCAGGGCTACCCAGAGCTTTACATCTGTCCCACGGACGATAGGCCTACACACTTGCTCTGCAATAAGGATTTTAGGTAAATAGGCTGCCATGCTCCTGAAAGCTGGCTCAAAAAAGTAGCACCCAGCGCCCGACCTTGCATTTTACAGGCGGTAAAAGAGGCGGTTAAAGACGCGGCATGTGTACAGCCCCTAACAGGATATAATGATGAAGTGATGACATTTCATATCCGAAAGGTCGAAGGTGAACTTCACTGTGACATCATAATATTCTGCAAAAACGCTTATCTTATTCGATTCCATAACTCAGGAATAGGGGGGGACAAATTCAGTCAGATACTGATTTGATAGTACTAATCTTGAGCCCCTTTCCCGATGCACAAAAAACCCACTGACACCCTCTAACATCTGGCTTTTTAATGCAATTGTAAAGGTTTTAATCGGCATTCACATGACTCTGCTGTCATCACAGGTATTCGATCGGCATCGATGGGAACACAACACCCAGGTGAACATGCTAATTTTAGCTCCTTTACCAGCGAGATGCAATGACATGCCATCACAAAATACCGCCTGTCTCTGCCCAAGCAACACTTAAACAGTGATCCAAATTATTTTGCACCAACTTTGAAAGAGCAACTGAATAACTAAGAGATGTATAAAAAGAAGTAACCACCATAAAGTTTTCAAAGTTCTCCATGCTCCTCTCTACTACAAACCTGCTCTCCAGCCTGGCTGTGTGCCATACAAATTATATTCAGCCACAAAATAAGCTTGAAAAACCTGGAAATCAAAACAGAAGTACAGAGAGTTGTTGCATAGAGATGATACACCATCTCATCTAATTGCATTGGCGTGAACCGCCAGGTTTTTACGACGTTGCAGAACGCCGCATTGCAAGTAGTTGCCTGTTTCAACTCGTCTCGTTGCGAGTCTTTGGTCTGACCTGGGCTTAATGCTCTGCAAGATGCTGACTCTTCAGTGTCTCCATCTTTGGTCCTAACTGTTTGTTGCTGTGTGGTGTTTCTGCACTGGAAATTCCCGGAGATCATTAGACCACTACTGTGTTTTTCTTTCAGTCAAGTCCTGTTTTTTTTGTCCTTTCAGCCATGATGCCATCATATCTACCAGATCCTATAATGTCTATTGCTCACACACCTCTATTGCTGATAATGAAAACATAAAATACTGAATATCACTTGGTGTGAGGCAGAGACGCAAAGTAGATGCAGGATTAAGTATGAAAAGTGAAAGTAAGTAATTGGAATATTAAATGTGATTTTCCATAGTTACGTAGCCTGTATTTTTAATCACTAGAAGTGTTTTCTATTGACGATCCGCCTGCCTGTTTTCATGTGTGTTAGACAGAGCCATTGTGGTGTGTTGGTCGAACGTTAGCTGATGTGTGCACCGCAGCAGAGGGTCCAGGTGGAAACATTTACCTCCTCAGTGAGCAAATCCAGTCTAAACTGCATTTATCAGATAAAGGGAGCCTGACACACCTTGAGAGAGTCTGCAATTAGAGGTCATTGGTGTGTGTGACAGGTCACTAAAGCATGCTCACCTGCACTGACAAAAGAATCAAGTGTGTAAATATGAGTGCGTACACATGCACACCGAGTTGAGGCTTAGATTTATTTTGGCTGCGTTGGCTTAATGGTTGCTTATTCATGGAGCTAAAGTTACAGTAGTTACATGTCCCACCTAAACACTTCTTAAGGTTAACTAGATGTGACTTTACTCAGAAAGTTCGTATAAATCAATGTAATCAAATCACCCTGCGCTCCCCTGTTCTCTCCTCTCAACTCCTTGACTCTTGCATAAACAACACAAGCCAGCGTGTAAACACCCCGAGAAGTCACTGTGATGGAAATCCAGAGGAGAGAAACAGTTGTTCTCGTCTATAAATAGAGTTCTGAGATTTTAGGGGAATCTTTTGAAATGTTGCCAAAGCGCAAACGTCTCCCATGTGGTTCTGTTAACGACCTGAGTCAGAATTAGTTTGACAGAAGCGGATGTTGTGTTATCTTCTGAATCACACAGCCCTCTGCGAACATGTGTGCATCTTTATGTATGATGCATCTTTTTACAGAAGCGTATCTCCTAAAATCTGAAAACCACCGCCAGACTGCAGATGACTCAGTGGTCTCGGAGCTGTAGTCACAATACCTCAGAGACAATTCACTCTTACTTTACTGTAAATGAGAGAACCAGCGCCGTCATAATGTGACTCCACATGTGGTAATGAAATGTTGGAAACACACTCCATGTGTGTCATTGAATGTCTGCTTCAAGGTTGGGTGTATTCTAGTTCTTTTTCAAATCAATTCAAGTGCTAAATCCTGATAGAGTATAGTCTGCTTTATGTTGTTAGATAAACTTTTTCTGCTTTCACAGATAGGAAGAAGATTAGGGAGACGAACCCCAACGAGGAGAAGTTTTCAGAAGCCGGAGGAGGAGGAGGCAGAGGAGAGAGTCCACTGCGGCCCCCAGGCATGAATCCCATCATCAACTCCACCTCTACCACCAACATGTCCCTCATCAGCAACGCACTGGCAGCCTACACTTATATATCAGGTAGGGCAACATCCATTTTCTTGTGTGACATCACATTACAAGATTCAGGTAAGTAAGAGATCATAGTCTGATTATGGTCATTAGTCGAGAATAGGGCTGGATCTTAAATGTCCCCTATGATGCTTATTTCCAGGTCTATTCCAATATTTTTGGTTTCCACTATGTTAACGTGCTTCAGTGTTCAGAAAGTGCATTATTTTTCTCAGATGGTCTGCCTGAATATACCTGTAATCACCCTCACCCTCCGTCTGAAACACGTTTTAGAACCTGTCTCTTTGAGCCCCCCCTCCTTGAGTGACCTGACTTGAGTCCAGTTTGCTCTGACTGGTCAGTGTTCCTGCGCTTTCAGCATCTCTGCACCATCTTAGCAGCTGTGGGAATGACTGTAAAGCAGAGTCCTGCACAGGTCCCTTTTTGAAAACCTGCACCCACCCATACCCATAAAGCTCAATACCAGAACCGACCCCTTACCTGTCATTAAGGGTGCTTTCACACCTGCCCTGTTTGGTTCGGTTCAGTAGAACTCAAGTTCATTTGCCCCCTAACTGCGGTTCATTTGGGCAGATGTGAACACAGCAATCACACTCAGGTGTGCACCAAAACAACTGGACCGAGACCTTCTTGAAGAGGTGGTCTCGGTCCAGTTACAAATGAACTCTGGTGCGGTTCATTTGTGGTGAGAACGTGTTCCGACCTTGATCTGAACCAACTGCAGTCACATGACACATTGTTTGGGTTAAACATGAGCATGTTACAGTCCTGGAGGATTATTAATGTGTGCCTGCTCCTGTACTGCCTTAATATGCACATTCAGCACATCCAATGCATCAAAACATTGTTTTCTAGTTGGAGCCGCGCCTCGTTTTCAAACTGTATGGTTTGACTAAAATGAACAATGACAGCAATATAGTCCACGATGACCAGCGCTAAAATCAACCTGCGTAGTTGTCCCTCCATTGTGACATTAGAAAGTGTCACATTTATCCTGCAAGTGTACTCTTCTTCAACGTTTTGTTTACTTCCTGGATTTTCCCCGCATGGAAATTCTGACCAATCAAGAGCAGCTTTCTCGTGCAGGCATTTTATTATTTTTACCTGTGGGTACCTGACCCAGTGCAGGACTCTGCTGTAAAGGGACTGTGGCAGCTCTGTCTATCTTTATAGACCATCTCACTGGAATTGCGTTGCAAGGCAACAGCTTGTGTTCATGTTTACTTCACATACACTGTAAAACATTCCAACAGGAAATACAAAGGGACCCATTTATAATGTTTCAGGTTTGAAACAGTCTGTGACATCACATCTTCACGGAAGTCCTGACAACTCGTTTATAGGCACAGTTTCTGAATACGGACTGTGAGCATTTCTCTGTGGACTGTGTTTTGATACTGTCACAGGATTTATATGTAGCATCTATACCTGCTTTATATTAAAAAGACATGGAAATCAGACTTTTTACAACATGGGACATTTAATATTTAAAGGCCTCATCAGATCAAGATTCCTTCTTAGACAGTAGTATTAGTGACACTGGGATTTGAGTGCATGGTTTCATGTGTGGTACACGTGTGTGGCATGCTATCTCTTGCATAAAATTTCCCTGTTTCCTTTTTCCTGGGACTGAAATGTGGGTAAATGTGGGCCAGAGGAATGCAGATGTTTGGCAGAGATAACAGGCTACACACACACACACACACACACACACACACACACAGTCGGTCACCTGCTTCAACCAGCTGCCAAAACAGACGCTGCAATAGTTTGGTTGTTTGGAAACTTCCTGTGTTATTAACCCAAATAAACTCAAACAGTTTATAGTGAAATGCATTAGTCATGCAGTCAAATAAACACACACTATAATGTGTAATGGAAGATAAACCTTTGTAAGGTCAGCTCTAGCTCAACCTTTTTCATTTGGAACTTCTTGAATGTCTGGGGGTCTAATTATCTGCAAACCTCAGTACAAATGAAAGGAACGGCACTGAGCTGATACACAGTGTATGGTTGGTTAACAGTGTCACCTCAAAGCAAGAGGATTCCTGGTTCAAACCTGGAGTGAGGCGTTCTCTGCATGTTCTCCCTGTGTCAGTGTGGGTTTCTCTGGGTACTCCGGCTTCCTCCCACAGTCCAAAGACATGCAGGTTAATTGCTGACTCTAAATTGCCCATAGATGTGAATGTGAGTGTGAATGATTGTCTGTCTCTATGTGTCAGCCCTGTGATAGTCTGGTGACCTGTCCAGGGTGTTCCCTGCCTCTTGCCCAGTGTCAGCTGGGATAGGCTCCAGCCCCCCGCGACCCCTGACAGGATAAGTGATTACAGGAAAAATTAAAATGGAATGAATGGCAGTTCAGCTCACTGCAAAAAAAAAAAAAAAAGAGAAACTAAAGTGAGGAAAGTAAACAAAGGGCTAAAGTCAAGAGACTGTCAAACAAACTTATTTATTAGGTATGATTTTTTTTAGGGTAAGTGACACTTCAACAGTCTAGATGAGCTGTGAGTGTCTATGAGTGTGCGTGGAAGCCAGAAAAGAGCAGTTACAGTAATCAGGCCCGAAAGTTGTGAGTAATGTTACAGAGAGAAATGTACACGATGGAGCAGCGGCTACACAGCAGGCCTCATAGGATCTTGCCAAAGTCATAGATGGATGGAATGCGTCTCACTTTGTTTCTGTCAGTAGTGAAAGACAGACCATATTAGGCTGAGGAAAAGCAGCTCTTGTCTACCTGGAGCTTGAGGTGTTGGGACACATTAACCAGCATTAACAACATGTGAAAATAAACTCCTGAAGATGAATTGCAGCACATAGCAGGGCAGCAGAATCTGTGAGACATTTTTGCCAAACCAAGTTACCAAGCCTGGGAAGTCAGTAATATGATCTGTGAGTCTGCAGCCAATGTTCATTACAGTGAGCCATCAAGTGAAATATTTTCTAACAGAGCAGGCTGAGCAGGTCAGAGGAAAATAAAAAAGACCCAACATCAGTCAAAAAGCTTCAATTAAATGTTTGACGTGTGCTCTGTAAGAAATCAACTCAATGCAGCACTTTATATTCTGTTTCTCTCCCCCCATAACAGACCACCCAGAGAGGGCAGCGCTCTTCTTCGTCTGCGGTGTGTGCTTGGGCCTCTTCCTCACACTCTTCGCCCTGGTGGTCCAGATCTCCTGCCGCACCGACTGCCAGCCCCGCCAGCGGCCTCCTGCCAAGAAGCGAGCGCGCCCCGCCGACTCGTCCTCTGACTCCAGCGACTCGGACTCAGACTGGGACACCACTTCAGATCTGTCGGCGAGGCGGCACCGGCGATTCGAACGCACACTAAACATGAATGTGTTCACGTCGGCGGAGGAGTTGGAGAGGGCGCAGAGGCTGGAGGAGAGGGAGCGAATCATCCGGGAGATCTGGATGAACGGGCAGCCTGACATCCCCGGGACACGGAGCCTCAATCGGTATTACTGAGGACTTTAGGGGCTTTTTATAGGAAGCTTACTTGAACAAAATTTAGGACGCACTTGGGTTGGAAGAGGCACGAGACACAGACATGAAGCTTTATCGTGCAAACTGACACTGATGAGACCGGTGAAAGGTTTGGCAGACTTGGGACGAAAGTGCTCCCACTCTGCTGGTTTGCATTCTCCTCTGGGTATCATAAGCTGTACCCCGTTCAGTAAGAGAATAAGCTCCCTCTCTGCGTGGTAAGCTCACCTCTTTCTGCCGGAAGCACGAGGTGAAAGGCTACACCGCCTTGCCCGTGACCTCAGCACGCCTTTTTGAAGTGGGGATTTATGGGTTAGCCACCTTAGACACACATAGGCCTGTGGAGGCTACATGGTGACTGAAGGACCAAGGCCTCAGATGGCTCTGCTTTACACAGAATGCAAGGCAGCTGCAAAAAGACTGCGACACTCAGAGCGTCACGCTCGGCACCCTCCAGTATTCAAGTGTGGACTTAACAGAGGGGCCGCGTAACGCAGGACGAAGCGTACGACGGGACAACGTGAGACAATCTTTCCACAGTGAATAACCATGCTGCCTTTTGAACTTTATAAAAACCAAAAGATATTTTTGGGGGAATTCATCTCAACCCTTATGAAATCTATTTTATAATATTTAATAGTTTATTGGTGTTGTGTATTTTTGTTCTCAAGTATGGTTTATTATGAGATATTTTTTATACTTGGCGAAGGTTGTCTGGCACCTCAGGGATGCAATCCTAGTGTTTCTGTGTTTGGTTGATGTATTTGCTTCCTAAAAAAAAAGGGGGGGATCGGCCCATTTAAACAGCTAATGTCAGCATTTAAAGAAAAGATTTAGAAATATCATATAAAGAACCTCAAAGAGGTTTAGTGATTTAACCTTTTTTTTTTTTTTGATACAGTATGTTTAATTCACAGTGCAGTGCCTTTTCTAGCTATTAAGTCACTGTTGTCACGAGTGCAGCTGGTGAATAACCCAATAACTGGTCACATGATTGATCATATATGTATTCCCTTTTATTATTACAGTTGCTGTCTTGGTCACACGTTGCACTTGCTGTTCAGCCCAGATGCAAATGACCAGAATATGCCAGTGCAAATTTTAGGTCTTGTGTCAACTTACTTCAAAGATCCTAGTGCTACACCAGATGTTTGTGGTAACCTCTGTTCATCATCTGGAGAAGGAACTAGCACTGGAGGAAAGGTTCGCATCGAACGTGACACCTGCGTCTCTTAAATCATGTCGCCAGTTTAATAAAATAAGCTATTGTCAGTCCAGTTCTGTTTGCGCTGCCCTGGATTCGAGCGTAGAGATATTAATAGTTTTCATAAAGAGCTTGCTACTTTCCTGACTGAGAGTTTAACTTGAGAGCACACAGGACATATTAGGGGTCATCCGCATAAAGACTGCCACTCTATATAGTTTTTATAAAGACAGTTATTATGTTTAAAATTTGAATGGGATTAAAATGTGCCGATAGCTGGTAAAGTGAGACCAAAATATGACTCCTGTGCTTGAAATAAACTGTGTTGAAAAAAATGTTTTGTTTGTTTGTTTAAAATGTCACTTCAAATAATAGTATAATAATAGAATGTATTTGATATAGCACCTTTCACAGAAATGAAATTCACAAAGTTCCAGCCGGGAGGACACAAAAGCATGGATAATCATCTCCAGCTCAGGTCGAGACACCTCAGGCCTGATCTTTGCAATATTTCTTTGCTGAATAAAACAAGTATGGGTCAGTGGTTGAACATGATGATCAAAATGCATGGCCTGATCAAAAATAACACCAAGATTCCTGAAATTTGACCGTATAGCTGACGAAAAGGCCCCAATATGGTGCATGATGCTTGTATTCTACTCCAATCATGTACAGTGCTTGCTCTATACTGTGGCAGTCTGAGATAGGAACTGCTGTAATCTCATATTAATGTCATACTATACTTATAGACAGTAAACACACTGTACAACACAGTCATGAACTCCCATGTGTGTTAATGATGGATGACCTATGGGCATTGCTAGTAGTGAGATTTATTGGTGTTGCGTGCCCCCTAGTGGTGAAGTTAGAGCATTTCAGGTTGTGTGTAGGAGTGTGTGAATAAAAGTCACCCGTTTATGATCAATAATTGCAGCTATGGCAAATAATTTTCTAATATAACTACTTTAATTGATTGTAGCACTAAAGCTTCTCGACACAGGAAACTGCTGAGTAGATATGACGTCATATTATGGAGGATATGCAATTTTGCTTTTTACTATTTTTTAAATGTTTGCCAATATTAATTCCTTATCATTCATGATATAGCTTTATTTTTTGTTTTATTTTTTAAGCTATGGTTTTTATGAATATTTGTTTACTTCACTTTATTTACTTGAAACTGTTGCTGTCGTGCCGTTACCATGGATACCACAAACTCAGCACTGCGGAGCTGTAGTGTAGCTTTACATGGTAACACGACCTGACTTAGCTAACTTAGTTAGCTTAAAACCACTAACTAGTACTGTTCAACTTCTTGTGGTGAACAAACAATACTTTAATAGCAGCAATGTCTTGGAACTGGAACAGCCATGGACTGCCATTTTTACCGGGATACACTTTTCGGGATGTAACGGTAAGAACTGCCCTTTAAAGTTAACGTTAGACTAGCTAGGTTAACGCTAATTTAAAATGCGTGGAGTTAAGTTACGTAAGGTTTTAACGTTTAATATTAGTTACAAGTTAAACGTAAGAAAAAACGCTGTTCACTTTATGTAATGTAAATGTCATCCCTGCATTCTTCCAGTCTTTACGTCCAATAAAGTTAAAGAAGGTGACATTCAAAACTAATTTAGGACGCTATTAGCTGAAAGCAGAGCAGACATTTTGTGTTGCCGTAGTAGGAGAACAGAGGTAAAACTGGTAACATTAATGATGGTGTAGTTCCAATAAGTGTCCCAGTAAGCTTTGTTAGTGAGCCAGCATGAACAATATCAGGGTTTCCTCTATGTGGAATGCAGCCATCATTAGTGTTATTAAATACAGCCGTGCTTTTCCTGCTATGACAGTGTTTTCAGTCCCTTTACACAAGTAAAAGTACTGTTAGCAAACAAGTAAAAGCTCTGTATTGAAAATGTTATTCAAGTAAAAGTAAGTACGTGTAATTAGGATAATGTACTTTAAACCTTCAAGCCTGGGTTGAAATCAATGGGCCTATATTTGAGACAGGCTATATGGGACAGGCCTTTCATTCCTTTTGTACAAAACTGTCTCTCAGCAAAGATGGGAAATAAAACCAAATTGTTAATGTAAACCAGTATGAATGTTACCTGTTTAAAAATAAGGCTTCAGATAATATATCAATTATGAATCATTTATTTAATCTAGTGCGGACAGACAGCACATTAAAGAGAGAGAAAGTTATGGCACTCGAGGATACTCACAATAATCACACCTTACGGCTTATAATATTTATGAAAAACCCTTTAGAATTTTTTGGTTTGTGGACCCTTACAGACAAGGGTAATCGAGGAATGGACACATAATTTGAAGTAGCCATCAACCTGGTTTTATATATCCGAAGAGCTTCCATTAAAAAAATTAACTCAGGGACTGGGCGTTTAATTTAAGTTTGACAGTACTTAAAGTAATAAAAGCAAAAGTACCCCATGGAGAAAAAAATCTTATTAAAAATAAAGGAAAAACACTCAAAAGATGTAAAATATTTAAAGAATTATGTATCAAAATAGTTGCCAATTAATTTTCTGTCAGTCGACTACTTGTATGAATTGTTGGGGAGTTTAATTCGTAACAAAACATAATATTTTTGTGCAAAACTCTTAATTTGTAAAGTAACTTGTAAGTAAAGCTGTCAGAAAAATGCATTTAAGTAAAAAGTAAAATATTACCTTATGAAATGTAGTGGAGTAGAAGTATAAAGTGGCATGAAAAGAAAAGACTCAGGTAAAGTACAAGTACCTCAAAATTGCACTTAAGTGCAGTACTTTGGTGCAGCTGTGGCTCAGAGGTAGGGTGGGTCGTCCACCAATCGGGAGATCAGCGGTTCGATCCCTGGCTCCTCCTGTCTGCATGTCAAAGTATCCTTGACCAAGGATGAAACTGAGTAGCAGGCGGCACCTTGCATGGCAGTCTCGGCCACGTGTATGAATGTGTGAATGTGACTTGTAGTGTAAAAAGTGCTTTGAGTGGTCGGATGACTACAACGGCGCTATACAAATGCAGGTCCATTTACCATCACTGCTATGGCATGTGAAAATGTCAACTGTGAAAAAGGTCTATTGTTATGGACAGCAGGCTCAGATGATAATCGACCTTTGTGTTTACACTTGCATCAGTGTTGCAGATATTTCATGTACTTTAATTTGTGTTTCTGTTGTTATTTACCAAAGCTAATGTATTCCCTCTTGAATATTTCTCTGCAGAAGTCAGCCTTCCATCGTCCCCAGACACTTGGCTATAAGAATGGCTTTGCTCTGCCCGGTCGCCCCACTGTGGGCATTGGACAGGCTCCTCTTTTATCAGAGCAGTTGATCCAGCAGGAGATCAGTGAGCTGTCGTTTGAGACACCAGACATTATTTACGGCTCCCTTGACCAGAGCATGGAGAAAGAATTCATCCCAGCTCATGTGGCTCTTGACAAGAAGGTACAATAAGGCCAAGAAGACCAGTATTTGAAGATTTTTCTTGCTGTTCAATTAAATGTTTGTCTCACCACTCTCTTGTCTTGTAGGTGCTGCGTTTCTATGGATACTTTCTAGAAAATATCCAGTTTTCCCCTGAAGAGGAGTGCCGCGTGCGCCCTGTGGTCATTTACTACTACCTGGAGGATGACAGCATGTGCATCATTGAGCCCATGGTGGAGAATTCTGGGATACCACAGGGGAAACGGATCAAACGCCAGCGTTTGCCCAAGAATGAATTTGGAGAGCATTACCAGTGGAAAGAGCTCAATGTTGGCATGGACCTGGAGGTGTACGGGGTCAAGTACCACATCACACAGTGTGATGCTTTCACAAAGGTACAACACTCACCTGTGTGAATGCTCTTGCAGTGCTTTGTGTGTCTTCATTATTGTGTGTTGCTGTAACTACTCTCTGCCTGTCACTCATCATGTAAAGGAGTTCATGGAAAGTGAGGGCATTGTTGTGAACGACCCTGAGCCGATGCCTGTGGACCCTTACAGCCAACGTCGCATACAGCCTCAGCCTTCCTACACAACACCCTCCGAATTTGACTGCATGCACCAGTTTCTCACCATGGATCGTAAGGTAACGGAAATTCCCTCCGTTCCAAACTAACTAGGTAAATATTACCAACTCTAATCTGGACGGCTATTAACAGAGAAGCATGGGTACAATAACATCTCCTATTAAAGCAAATTAGAAAAGGAAGTTATTATTATTATGTTGTATTTGCTGTTGCAAATTTCACACTAATAGTAGACAGCAGCAAGTGTAAATATGGTTTAAGAGACGACACTCACAACACCACTACCAGTTGGGGAATTATGAATGCATTTGGCACACTAACAATCTAACTCCAGGCTCTTCACCTCTTCTTGGTCAGGTGCTGCGTTTCTTTGCCCTGTGGGATGACAGTGACTCTCTGTTCGGGGACACCAGGCCTGTTACCATCCAGTATTTCCTGGTGGACGACACGGTAGAGATCAGAGAGGTCCACGAACCCAACAGCGGCCGGGATCCCTTTCCTGTCCTGATGCGCAGGCAGAAGCTGCCCAAGAAGATCAAACCAGAGTCCGGTGAGAGGCAATGATGTGTCTGTTCCACTTTTAGCTGTGTAATTGCATTAAATCTGGTACAGTGCATTGGTCAGGTATCTCTTTGCACGTAGTCATGTAAACAGTAAAAGTGAATGCTTTTAGTAAGCGTCTCTTGCCCTGTAACTGAGTATTAGTTATACTGTTTTTGTCAACAATTTTATGCACTACAGAAAAAGCAGAGTCGTTTTTTAAGAGATATAAATGATGTCTAAAAAGAAACTAACATCAATAACAATTCTCTTCTTATTTATTATCAGAGACATTTCCCAGCTGCGTGCTAGAGGTTTCAAAACAGGAAGTAGATGAGTACTACTCCCCCAAAGACTTCAAGGTGGGACAAACGATGACGTTGCTGGGCCGTCGCTTCCTGCTGTATGACTGTGATGGCTTCACTAAAGAGTATTATCAAAAGAACCACCCTGATGTGGAGATCAAACCTTCAGAGGTTCCAAAAAAGACTGACCTGCTTCAGGAGACCAAGAAGGTGAGAAACTTTTGTTTGCCTTTAAAAAACTATATCATTGGTATTCCCTGAAGGTACAGTACAGGCCAAAAGTTTGGACACACCTTCTCATTCAATGCGTTTTCTTTATTTTCATGACTATTTACATTGTAGATTCTCACTGAAGGCATCAAAACTATGAATGAACACATGTGGAGTTATGTACTTAACAAAAAAAGGTGAAATAACTGAAAACATGTTTTATATTCTAGTTTCTTCAAAATAGCCACCCTTTGCTCTGATTACTGCTTTGCACACTCTTGGCATTTTCTCGATGAGCTTCAAGAGGTAGTCACCTGAAATGGTTTTCCAACAGTCTTGAAGGAGTTCCCAGAGGTGTTTAGCACTTGTTGGCCCCTTTGCCTTCACTCTGCGGTCCAGCTCACCCCAAACCATCTCGATTGGGTTCAGGTCCGGTGACTGTGGAGGCCAGGTCATCTGCCGCAGCACTCCATCACTCTCCTTCTTGGTCAAATAGCCCTTACACAGTCTGGAGGTGTGTTTGGGGTCATTGTCCTGTTGAAAAATAAATGATTGTCCAACTAAACGCAAACCGGATGGGATGGCATGTCGCTGCAGGATGCTGTGGTAGCCATGCTGGTTCAGTGTGCCTTCAATTTTGAATAAATCCCCAACAGTGTCACTAGCAAAACACCCCCACACCATCACACCTCCTCCTCCATGCTTCACAGTGGGAACCAGGCATGTGGAATCCATCCGTTCACCTTTTCTGCGTCTCACAAAGACACGGCGGTTGGAACCAAAGATCTCAAATTTGGACTCATCAGACCAAAGCACAGATTTCCACTGGTCTAATGTCCATTCCTTGTGTTTCTTGGCCCAAACAAATCTCTTCTGCTTGTTGCCTCTCCTTAGCAGTGGTTTCCTAGCAGCTATTTGACCATGAAGGCCTGATTCGCGCAGTCTCCTCTTAACAGTTGTTCTAGAGATGGGTCTGCTGCTAGAACTCTGTTCTGAGCTGCTGTTAACTTGCGATTTCTGAGGCTGGTGACTCGGATGAACTTATCCTCAGAAGCAGAGGTGACTCTTGGTCTTCCTTTCCTGGGTCGGTCCTCATGTGTGCCAGTTTCGTTGTAGCGCTTGATGGTTTTTGCGACTCCACTTGGGGACACATTTAAAGTTTTTGCAATTTTCCGGACTGACTGACCTTCATTTCTTAAAGTAATGATGGCCACTGGTTTTTCTTTAGTTAGCTGATTGGTTCTTGCCATAATATGAATTTTAACAGTTGTCCAATAGGGCTGTCGGCTGTGTATTAACCTGACTTCTGCACAACACAACTGATGGTCCCAACCCCATTGATAAAGCAAGAAATTCCACTAATTAACCCTGATAAGGCACACCTGTGAAGTGGAAACCATTTCAGGTGACTACCTCTTGAAGCTCATGGAGAGAATGCCAAGAGTGTGCAAAGCAGTAATCAGAGCAAAGGGTGGCTATTTTGAAGAAACTAGAATATAAAACATGTTTTCAGTTATTTCACCTTTTTTTGTTAAGTACATAACTCCACATGTGTTCATTCATAGTTTTGATGTCTTCAGTGAGAATCTACAATGTAAATAGTCATGAAAATAAAGAAAACGCATTGAATGAGAAGGTGCGTCCAAACTTTTGGCCTGTACTGTATGTGACTTAATAAATGATAATCGTCTTCTCATTTATAACCCTCTCCTGTCTGTGTTTACAGGAGGTTCCCCCCTATAATGGTTTTGGCTCACTTGAAGACTCTCTGCAGAACTGTTTGTCTTTAATTCCCGAGCCTCCCAAAAAGAATGTGCTAAAGATGCTAGAAAACGACCACAAAGTGTTGCGCTACAGTGCCAGGCTGGTAAGTCAGCATGAATGAGAACATGTTTGTGCTGCTCCTTTAACTAAATATTCTGAATGACTAGTGGCTGCTTTCACCAAAACTGAAACTGTACCTCCTTGCTGAAGTTTGCCTGTGTTACTGACATTCCAGGACTCCCAGAATCCTGAAGATGAGTGCCGACGTTTCATACTGTCCTACTTCCTGTCCAATGACATGATCAGTATTTTTGAAAAGCCCACTCGCAACTCTGGTATCATCGGTGGCAAGTTCCTGGAAAAGACACGCATCCCCAAACCGGGCTCTACGATGGACAAGCCTGAGTTCTACTCACCTGCAGACTTTGCTATTGGAGCCACTGTGGAGGGTAACATTCCACTTTATCAGCCTGTATTTATTTTCATATTATCTTGTGTTGGTTTCCAAAAGAAATATTTTTTATTCAGAAACTAGGGCATCTTTTCTCCAAGGAATTAGCAGGAATAACTCATGTTGCTGCCTTCCATGTCTTCTGAGATAAATCAAGCTTTATCCAGAATTATATTTTAAAGGTGAAATCTGCAATTCTAATCCAATACACTCCTCCAGTTAGCTTCGTGTTCTCTGTGTGCACTGAAAAAAATGTGGTCCTCATACAGCCCTGGCTCTGTAAATGGGAAACAAACAAAGTGGCTTGGACCTAGCCACCTAAAACTATGCCAGCTTCTCTCCCTCTTCCACGTCCTCACCCATGAGGAACAGAGCGACACCATGATAGTAATGAAACATAAATGACATCAGAGATATTACAGGAGCTTCTGAAGGAGCACTGGTTGCTGTTGTCTGATAATGTGCAGTGCTGGGAAGAAGAATTTCTCCTCTGGGACAATGAAGTCTAAGTCTGTAGGAGGGGTGCGTTTGTTTGGGTGTTGAATTAAGATATCACCAATCTTTCTCCAGAATCGCAGACTCCACCTTCAAGTTAGATTCCATTTTCCGGTAGGAGATCAATAGATAAGTTAGCTAAAATCTCAGCTCACTGCATCTTTTGCTCCTCTCGTCTGTTTTTGTAGTTTTCAGCCACCGCTTTGTGCTGACTGATGCTGACCACTACGTGCTGACGTACCTGGAGTCCAACGCAAGCCAGATCCCTTGTCAGACACTGGATTCTTTGCACCAGAAGCTGGGTGTGAAGACAGCAAATAACCAGCCAGCTGACCAAAATGGTAAATAAATCAAATCAGCAAGTCAGCAAAACACACATGTCTAGAAACTTCTGTCAGTAGATGTCACTTTACTTTTTAAAATTTTGGACTTTAACAATGTACACCCCTTTTTTTAATCTATCTTTATCAGGTGACGATGTAGCAGAGCTATCTTTGTGATGTCAGGCAAGGCTGGATTGCATTGTACACTCTGCACTAAATCAGACCACAAATCAAAGCCTCTACAGAATGTATCTTGACACTATAAATAAATACTGGACCAGCTGCAGAAAAGTTGATTTATTTGGCAGAATCTGACAGCTTCTGGAAATAAAAAATACAGCTTTTTGGTGTTGGTGTGGTTGACCTCAAAATATCCTTCCTATATAGGGCATATACCAGGCAGTTGCCAAAGCCGAACGTCAAATCTGAACAAAAATGCAAAGTTAAATTAGAGTTGGGCAATCAAGCGAGTACATTTTATCAAGAACACTATGTTTCCTCAGCCACATAGAGCAAACTGACGGTCAAACCAGGGATGCTTTTAGCATACTGGCATTAGCAATCAGCTAAAAGCAGAAGTGAAGGTGCCTCCACTGTGCTCAGTGCCACCCTTGATTGAGTCCACCTCCACCGCCCTGTTGACAATTGCCTAATCACCCTGCTTTTTACTGCAAGACTGTCGCCATCGAATTATCGATAAAGGGGACCAAATCTTTCAAAGATGTCAAACTCATTTCCTATTTTATTATATTTTTTATCATTAGCAAGTACAGCTATACAGTATACTATGCAAATATATAATAAATGAAAGCTACTGTCTACATAAATGACACATGACAACATAAATGATTGACACTTTACTCAGACTTCATGTGGGCTACCTGACAAATAACATAAAGACAGTGGGCCCAGGAGGCATCCTGATCAGCTGCCTCCTTTCACCTCAACTGGCCCTTTTCGACCTGAAGGAGCAGCAGCTCTACCCTGAGCTCCCTTTAAATGCCTGAGCTCCTCACCGTATCTCTAAGGCTGAGCTCCTTTCAGCCTCTTGTATCCCAAATCTCATTCTTCCTGTCACCACCTGCAGCTCAAGGCCATAGGTGAGGGTTAGGATGTAGATGGGCCAGTCAATCAAAAGCTTTGCCTTTTGGCTCAGCTTCTTCTTCACCTTGACAGTCTGGCACAGCACCTGTATCACTGATGAAGCTGCACCAAACTGCCTATCCATCTCACGCTCCATTTTACCCTCACTCGTAAGACTGAGATACTTGAACTCCTTTACTTGGAGCAGTAACTCTTTCCTTACCCAGAGGGGGCAATCCATTGTTTTTCGGCAGAGAACCATAGCCTCAGACTTGGTGGTACTTCACACTCAACTGCAAACTGCCCCAGTGCATCCTGGAGGTCCCTAAAGCAGACAATTGCTGCTTTGGTTCACTATATAAAGAAAGAAAATTGGATATGTAGAAAAATCCTTTGTAAATCTGCATGAATCAATGTCCATTTACCAACTGGCAATTTAGCATTTTCATTGATCCAAACTCGAACATTATTAAGAACCAAAATTTTAAAGTTTTGCCCTTTGTAGACAGAAAAATGACTTCAGTCACAGCATTTCAGAAAATTTGCATTATTTAATAAAGTAATTAACAAAACAATTAAAAGAAAAAAAAAACGGAATGGCATGCGGTAATATCCAACATACATACTTGATGCTTATCTGTTAAGTGACCAGTGACAAATGTAGGATTTTAAACAGACATAAATCGGGAGGAGCCCAGGTGACCACTCTATTGATTGGCCATAATCCCTTCCCTGACACGGTAAAGGGATATTGTTAGGGCCAGCATACAGTAAGCTCATATCATACCATATCATCAGTAACATTTTTCTGCTCCAATGGACCAGACTAGAAAACAAGCAAAAGCCGGCTCAATGGCAAGAGCTGAAAACAGCTGCGACATATCGGACAACGCTACGACCAATACAGTACTTATGTATGAGGATATGCATCAACACATTCATAGTTGACACACACAGTAACGTGTGCTGCATACTGTGTTCACTTTACATTTTAAATCATTCTGCATACAATGGTGCTCCTTAGGGTGGGATAGCAGGCTGCGTGGATGTATAAAAAAAATACTGATATGATGAGAAGAGTAAATGTCTGTTGGGCTCGAGGGATTTCCTTGGATTTCATTTTCCAGCATTCAAGCCTAAGTCTGTAGCGACTGAGTCCCTGTAACATCTCAGGACATACTCAACAAGAGGCTGGGTGGCCAGTGGCCGCCAGCTTTCCTGTTGTGCTGATGAGAAACCTTAGCCGCGGCTAAGGCCACTGTTCAGGCCAGTCAGTGTGTTATCTTAGGGGGATTTGAGTTTTTTGGTCCGAGGAGAGGCTCCGTTCTCAGCTTTAAGAACTCCATTTTCATGGTGACCAACTAGCAGGAGAGACAGAGGGGAGAAGTCAGGGTCTCTACCAATGAAGCACATATCAGATATCAAGAAAGCACAGAACGATGGTGGGAAAAAACACGTTTTAAGAAAGGAATCAAGTCAAATTCCTGATGAGTATAATGTTATGAAACAGTGCTTTACTCTTCTGTAACTGTAGGAGATGGTGACAGTGTTATGAAACATGTTTGAGCGGCTGCTTATACTCACGTGAGTCTCTCTTCAGTGGCCGTAGGGGTTGTTTTGCGGCAGCCTTCTTGCGAACAGCCTGTTCGTGTCTGAACTCCCTCCAGCGCCTCAGCTGGAAGCGGATAAACTTCCAGAGTAGCCAAGATTGGGTCAAACATACCAGCAGTAGAACAGTCATCCTGAATGGGGCCCCCGAGGCAAGAAGATTAGTGCGATTGTGTGTTTTGGAAAATGGACCTGACATTGCGTGCCAAATTTATACAATTACTTCCTGATCCTGGTGTGTGGGGATGTGAAATGAGGTCTGAAGAATATGTTTTTTTATTTCTCTGGGTATGACAGTAATGGTTGCCCTGGACAACAAGGGGACCTGAGTGTGCTCCCCTTGTTTCTGTGTTCTGTTGCTTTAGAGTGCTCCTATCACACTTTATCAGACATTATAGCACTAAAATGAAAAGGTAAATAGTCAAAATACGGAACAAATTCAAAATATATTTCCTAGCACAAATACTTTATACAAAGAGATACATTGATATATTGCTGAGCCCTAAATTAGAGACAAGATGTCATCTTAGATTTTGGATATCATAATATATCATGGTGTCTTTTCCTGGTTTGAAATTCTGCATTACAGGAAAGTGATGTAACTTTCTGACCTAAATGAATTGATCTAGCTGTTCTGTTATTTGCCTTTACCCACTTAGTCATTATAACCACATCAGAGTTCTGCATCAGGTCAGGTACTCAATGAGAAAAGGTGATTCCCGAGTGGCCTTAATTTTATTTCCAGTTTTATTGTGGTTTGGGGTCTGGCCACAAATCTTGTGTCAGCACATTGGGTTGGGTAGTGGAACTAAATTAAGCATAGGGTTAGTTCAGGCGGGACACTATGTCAAGCGCAGTTCACATCCCAGCTACATCAGCTGATCTCAAACAGCCTGATTGATGGAACTGACAGATCACATGATTCATTTCTATGCAACCAATTGGCGAATCTCATTCAGGGCGCCCCATTTAAACTGCTCTGGCCTGCCTACTGTTGCTGCTTCCTCTGCAAGCTGCTTTGCAACCCGTCTCCACCCCAGCTCCTCCTTTTCATGCTGTTTGACTTTTCAGTGTCATTTCTGTTTGTCATTGATGCTGCTCTGCTCTGTTCCAGGATGGGGGGGGGGGGGGTCTTTGCTGCTGCTCTCCTTGTCTTAGGCTTTACATGTAGGCGCAAGGAAGGGCAGGGGGGTTTGTTGTCTGCCTCAAGCTTTCCTTGTTTGCACATGGAAGGGCAGAGAGGTGTGCCCTCTTTGCCTTAAGGCTTTCCACGCAAGTACATGGAAGGGCGGAGCGGTGTGCTCTCTCTTAGGCTTTCCATGTAGGCTCGTGGACAAGGCTTTCTATGTAGGCCCGAGTGTTCCTGACTGAATTGGCCATATGCGTAGATGGTGTTCGGGTGGTGGGGAGGGGGCAGTAATGCATGTCGCCTTTCCGGTTTGGTAGCAGGTCTCTTAAGTCAGACCCATGCAGGACTCTGATCCTCATTAATGATGATTATTTATCAGAGATCTCATTGTGTAAATATTTTGTGAAATACTCAACCCTACAATATCATCCCAATATCAGCATTGAGGTATTTGGTCAAAACATGGTGATATTTGATTATTGCGCGGCCTAATATAATTGTAACTACAGGTATAGTGAAATCTGGATTTGAAATCACCCAGTGTCAGTCAGTGTCAAAATTCCTGGCTCTATGCACTGTGAATTTGTGTTATAAAACAATAAAAACATTAAAAAGTCAACACTTTTTATGGGCGCTAAGTGTATTTTGACTATAAAGTTGTCACAGTAGCTATAAAAAGTAATATCAGTGCCACAGAATGAATCATTATCCACAGATGATGGACCAGAGGTCTTTACCTTATCAGTACAGTGTTGAAGTTGCCCGTCTCCAAATCCAGCCCCTGGTTCTCAGCACGAGCCAAACCAAACCCAACAGCCAGGAACATCAAGGTCAGAGTTACCATCCGTGTAAACACAAAGCTGATCGCCCACAGGTCAAACCTGAAGCACACAACACAGCGACAATGTGGTCAATAAAGAAATAAGACAATAATAATATATGAAGTTACACGGAATCATAAAAGCACATGACACAGTAGCTAAGAAAGTAGTCTAGTCAACAGCAATGAAAGCTTGACAAAAAAGTGAAAACCACTAAACACAGTGAGGTTGCTTACATTTTCTGATGGTTCTCATCAGTGAAGTAAAATAGTCTAGCGATGTGGAAGCCCAGCTCTGACACATACTGCAGGAAGAGGAGTACCAGACCCACACGACTCAAACTACACAAGATAGAAGAGAGAAGCAGGTGATTGATTGGGTGACAAAGAATAACACATCCATATAAGGTTCAATGAAAACCACATACAGTAAAAAAAAAAAAAAGGTCCTTTTGCTGGATGCTTACTTTAACAAATAGGCTGCAGCGATGTGAAGTAGATACAGGCAGATGTACTGGAGCTGACGAGGAATCTCCTCCTGTAAAACAAACATTCATTTGCAAAAGGTACTGTAATTTTCAAATCCTGGAGCTTTTAATTCGTCACTCTCTGTCTAATGCACACGCATGCAGACACAGGAACACACACACCCAGAGCTTATCTAGTCACACTCCAGAACTCCTCCAGTTCCCAGGGCCTCCTTACTGACCTTGCGTACTTTCTGGAAGTAGAGCTCCGGCAAGGTGTGGAGCCAGTAGGCCAGCTGAGTGAGGTAGAAAAACTTCACCTGAAACCTAGAGCACAAACACAGGCAGACAGGCAGAGGGAAAGTAGGAGAAAGAGCAAGAAGGAGAGAGTCAGTAAAATTTACACAGCTGCCCCAGTGATACATTCCTGCTCTGATTTGTTTTCATTGATGTACAACTGTTAAAAAAATAAACCCAGTTAAGAGTAGACACAGCCAAATAATCCAAAAATGGATTACCAACAGACCAAAGCAAGCAACGGGGGGTCCAAAAGTCCCTGGACTGACTGTGTGGCAATTATTATGTAGTGCTTTGAGTTTTCAAAACTTTACCAAGTGTGTTATAATCTGAGTTGGTAAGGGCTTTAAGATGGCGCCTGCATTTTTATAGATGGCCCTGTTTCAAAATCTAGTTTTAATTGTGAATATTTTAGTCAATATTAAAGGGATACTTTGCTGATTTTCAACCAGCTTTGTGTCATAACACTGTGGGGAGGTATGTGTAAATGAACTGTGGTAAACTCGCTCTATCTTACCAGCGCCTGCTCTTCTTCCATCTAAAATCCGCCTAATAACAATCCAGCAGATTTTTACTAGCTGTAGGGCTGTGTTTGAACTATAGATCGTATTTCCACATTTTTGTATGGCCGCCACCACGGACACAAAGAGTATAGAAGCGGTTTCAGAGAGAGACTCGCCCCTTTCTCTCAGACGCAGACCAAACTCAGATCAAACTGTCAAACTAGGCAGCGCTGATCAAATCCAAACCAAGATTATGTTAATGTATTGCCTGATTCTCACTTGAAATGTTTTTCTAAACATATTTAAGTGCACTGTTTGGCTGTAATTCAAGAATCTGTAAATAGGAAGTGAGTGCTACACTGTTCTGTGTATTGTAAAAACAGTCAGAGAAGACTGAGATCAAAGGGTACAGGTGACCGGTGAATAAATGAAGAAGCAGTTATTTCCTCAGTCAATGTTTGATGTTACTTTTCTCTATTCATTCATTGGAGGGCATTTTTCAGCCCAGGACACATGTGCCTACCTCTGCTTTTCAAAATAAGGTCTTAACAGTAGATACAAGTAGATACAACATACATGTGGAAACATGATTAATTGGATTATATTGCAAGACATGTAAAAATGTATAGGGATCCCCCTCTACGGGTGTATATGAGGGGGCCCACTTTTGAAAATGTTGTCACCTTGCCTGTATTTCCTAACAGCTGACCTGTATGTACTTTACCTTCTTAAATGAATTTGTATTTAATCAAATTGTAACCACACTAACGTAGGGGTGTGCAGGGATCTATACTGGGGCCCAGTTATTTTTTGCCCCTGTTCTAACCAGCCCTGGGGTAGTCAAAATAATGCAATCTCAAAACAACTTCTCCGACAAGGAGCTGAACATTTTGAATACCAGTTAGCAATATCCGTCAGCTTTAAAAGAGGTATTAAGAACTTTTATATGTGACTTTTTCAAAGCTTAAGCCACCTAACCATACTCTAAAGCAGCCAAAATATGTTAACACATTCCACAAAATACAGCTGTGTTTTAACATTTGTCTTTATAAAGCAAAAATGCCAAAAGTTCACTGCTTCAGCTTCTCAAATATGAATATTTGCTCATTCTCTCAGTCCTCTATGATATCAATCTAAATACCTTTGGTTTTTGGACTACTGGTCGGAAAAACAAGACGTCTGGATGTTGATTCAGGCTTTTGGACATTTTGAGGGGCTTTTTTTTTTATAAAAATAAACTCTAGTAGCAGCCCTGGCATGTGGTTCTACAAATAAATGCGTATATGTGGATACTTCTAAAAAATATATATATGTATTGTTTATTAAGTGTATCTTGCTGAGCAGCGCTAAAATGTATATGGATTTTTTTTTAATGTAAATATACGACTGATAGAGCAAAGCAGTCATACCTGAGGTGTACATGGGGATAGTTCTCCCAGAGGCTGCTGGGATGTAAGAGATATCCTTCCTGTGTAAAAAAAATATCAGAGAAAAGAGCACTTTAGTGTGTGTGTGTGTGTGTGTGTGTGTGTGAGTGAGAAAGAAAAACACGAGCTGTCCTTGATAAGAGTATGTGTGTGACATTTCCTTGAGTAGGAAGTTGTTACTGAACACCACATGATAAAAATCTCACTCACTGTTATGAGGATGTAAAAACTCCACACACTCGACACCAAGTGAAACACACACAGCTGACCCGACTCATTAAACTTGGTATTCTTGCTCTTGGAGAGGTGGAGACGCCGGTTCACCTTCTGCAACATGAACAATAGAAAAGCATCACATGAATGCAGCTTGGAGCCGTCATAATGGGTTGTCTCATTGACTGCTGAGAAACTGTCATGCACAAGGAAGCGCCGCGGTAATACACATAACTGGGACAAGAAAAGACAGCAGACACTATTTATGGCTGCTGCTGAAAACCTTCCCCTGAAGAAGTATTCCTTTCAAGACACTTTGGAAACCGTGGCAATGGTGCTAAAATAAAACCTTGTTCCTCCTGGCTGGCCTATTTCTAAACAATGACACAAGGGCTCATACCTTCAGATGGATTAAATGCTGCTCTGTCTCTCTCTTCCTGTCTCCATAACTCTATCCCTGAGAGAACGGCAGCGATGGCAGCCTCGCTCATTTAGTCTAGAAAACAGGCAGTCTGCTACTCTTGTAGTTTTTCATGTTATGTTTAAATGACATTTAAACAGAATTGTTTTAAAATATTAGAGTGCAACAGGATGCAAACAGTGTAAGTATACATTTCCATGTATGGTACTTATATATATTTGCAAATAGCATACCCTTGCTAAGTAAAAGGTAAATAGGATGAGACGTTAAAGAGACTTTTTTTTCCAGATTCAAAAGTTACAAGAGTTCCTACAGTTTAAGTTAAGTGGGATTTGAGCCTTTTAACGGCTATTTTAATGCCACTAAAATTAAATTTAAGAGCAATTTTACAATTAACTAAAGTGAAGAAATAAAAAACATGCATGAAATGACTTTGGTTACTTAAGGCTAGCGGCAATTTTGCCCAAATATTTTTTGTAACATAAAACATGCCCTTTTGAAGACATTAATTTGAGCAGGAGTCAGTACAATATTATTATTATTATTTTTTTTTTTTAAAGTTACCTGTTATTTTCAGATTTCACAATGCAGCACCAAAAAAAACATAACATCCTATGTCTTAGCATTTTTAAGAATTTAAAAAATATTTATTGTAACATAAAACATGCCTTTTTGAAGACGTTAATTCAAGAGTCAGAAAATTATTTCTTTTTAAAAAGTCACCAGTTATTTTGAGATTTTGCAATGCAACATCACAAAAAAATAATTCATAAAATTGTATGTCTTAGCATTTTTAAGAATTTAAAAATATTTATTTAAGATATTTTGACACAGATTAAGGCCATATTTTTAGATAAATGAATTCAATGCCTTTTAAGACTTTTCATGGCTCATTTAATGCCACTCAGATTAAATTTCAGAGCAATTTTAGAATGAACAAAATTAAAAAACAAAAACAAAAAAAAAAAA